GAAGGGGGGAGAGGGAGGGAGGGAAGGAGAGACAGAGAGAGAGAGAGAGAGAGAGAGAGAAAATATGAATGAATGAATGAATGAATCCCAAGCAGGCTCCACACTGTCAGCATGGAGCATGATGCCGGCTGGGCTTGAACTCATGAACCATGAGATCATGACCTGAGCTGAAGCTGGACATTTAACCTGCTGAGCCACCCAGGCGCCCTCACAATTGAACTTTAGAACTTAAAAAAATTTTTTTTGTTTTAAGTTTATTTATTTTGAGAGACAGAGAGAGAGAGAGAGAGAGAGAGAGCAAGCCCAAGCTGGGGAGGGGCAGAGAGAGAGGGAGAGGGAGAGAATGCCAAGCAGGCTCTGCACAGACAGCAGAGGGCCCGATGGCGGGCTCAAACTGAGAGATCATGACCTGTGTTGAAACCAAGAGTCAGACGCGAGTCACCCAGGCGCCCCTAACTTTGGAACATTTTTATCATCTCCAAAACAAACTCCATACCCACTGGCAGTCACATGCCTTCTCCTACCCTTTCCCTCAGCCTAGGAAGCTTGATGCTTTCCATCTCTATAGATATGCCTATACTGGATATTTCATATGAATGGAATCCTACATTATATGGTCTGTGACTGCCTTCTTCCATTTAGCATAATGCTTTCAATGTTCTTCTATGCTGTAGCATGTCTCACTACTTCATTCCTTTTAATGGCCAAATAATATTCCATTGTATGGATATACCACATTTTATTTATCCATCCATTGGTTGATGCACACTTGGGTATGTTGTTTCCTAAGAGTCACAAGTGTCCCTGTGTTCCTCTCCTAAGAAACAGAAAGCAATTCAGAGCAGAACTGCTTATTATAATTTTTCCAGAGTGCCTAACAATGTCACAAGCTGAAAATACCCAATAGGTCTTGAACTGAATTTAGCTTATGGCCAAAATGCAGCCTACGGCTCTTGGGTTTAGAGTGTATATTTTTTTTTTCATGGCTAATAGTGCTCTTGGATGTGTGTCAATGTCTCTATTTATAAAGCAGGGATAATGCCACTTTCTTCTAGGTGACAGAAAGGTAACAAAGCACTCGCTGGTTTACTGGACCCTGCCTGTCTGCATCACTGCCCTCAATAGCGGTCCTGGCCTTGGGAAGTCCTATGTGTGGTGGCTGATGCAAGGGCATCACTGCTCAATGTAACAATTCAGTCACTACTCTCTATTCTCCTTTTGGGTTTGGTAGTGTCCTCCATTTATGTCCCCACTGGGAAAGGCCCTTATATCTGTGCTCCATCTGAGCGGACTATTCTCTGGTCAAGGCCAGCAGGCCAGGGCTATGTTTGTTGTTGGCTGTCAGGTAGCAAGAAAGGAGCTGACACCTTTATTGGGCTGGCCATGAAAGACGAAGAAAAGAAAGCCAAGTGTATTGCTTGGCCACTTGAA